AGCAGCAGGAGGTCAGCAGGCGACAGGGACATAGGACTGCAGACCTGAGGAGGGTGCAATTCTGTGGGGAAGACTCCCCCACCTTTCCTGCCTCCCCTCCTCCCATTCTCCCCGTCTGCTGCAGCCACAGGGCCTCCTTGCTGCTCCTCCAACACGCCAGGCTCAGTCCTGCCTCAGGACCTTTGCACATGCTGTTCCCTTGGCCTGAAATGCTTTTCCCTCAGATGTCCCCCCGGCTCCCTCCCTCACTTCCTTTGTTCAAAAGGCCCCTTGTCAAAGACACCTCCCCTGCCCATTTTATTACAATTGTAGAAAACCCCACTCCCTAGATCCCTGTATAGCACAACTGCTGTCAGACATGCCATGTATTTTATTCATGTTTGCCCATTCAACTGTAAGCCCTTGAAGGCAGGCGTGGTTGAGGGTGTTTGGCTCACAGTAGATGCTTAATATTTATTGGATGGACCAATATTTGAGTGAGTGAGTGAGTGAACGAATGAATAGCTGCAAACAGGGTCTGGCCCAGAGTAGGCACTCAATAGAAACTTGTTGAGTGAATTAGCATACAGAACGGTGCCTGGCACATAGTAGGCATTTAATAAATACTTTAGTAACAAAGGACCAGTCAGAATGGTGTGGGCTGGCATACAGTGGGAGCTTAATGAATACAGAGCAGTCAGAATAATGGCTGGCACACAGTAGGCACTCAATAAATAGTAATGAGTGAGTGATCAGAATGGTGTCTGACACACAGTAGGTGTTCAATAAATTCGTGCGGAATGAGTGGGTGGGCAGTGGGTTCCCAGCAGACGTCTGTGGAAGGAATGGAGGGCTGCTAAGCTGGACACGGGGCAGGGAGGCTCCCAGCCCAGATCCAGCTTCTGTCCCCGCTTGTCCCCATCAGCCACAGGAGGCAGAGGCCAGCTCCCTCCTGAGCCTGGAGAGACAGGTAGGCGGGGAAAGTGGGAGAGGAGCCGACCCCCCGCTGCCCAGTGATTCCTCCCAGAGGCGGCTGAGCCCCCCACCCGTCTGCTCCCAGGTGCAGGAGCTGCAGCAGCTGCTGGCAGAGAAGCAGGAGGCGAAGGAGAGCCTGGGACGAGAGGTTGAAAGTCTGCAGAGCCGGCTGTCCCTGCTGGAGGTGGGGCGCGGGACGGGGGCGGGGCCAGAGCCGGGGGCGGGGCTTCTCC